GACAAGGCCAAGTCTACGTACATCATTGTTTTGTTAAATATAAGTATTTGGTGTTGCGCGAATGGTCTCGTCAGCACTGGATATTACAGATGTGGTTGACATATTATTTGCTTTCCTTTTGTAGTTCTTATTAATATTCACATGTTAGGGTAAGTTTTTTTTTGAACTACGAATATAAAAACGAACAATTAATGTATTTATGTATAACTGTCTTTCACGTAAATGAATAACATGTGTAGCACATAGAGTGGCGTCTTTAACTCTCTCGCCATGCTAACTTTCATTAAAAAAATTTCTCTATGAATCACAACATAAAAGATTAGTTCATGACTTATTCTATTGCCCACTAGATGGCACTCCTTGACCGGTAGCTGGCAGTCCGCCAGTGATAAAGAGAAAGCTCATCAACAAACTGCAGTAGTTGGATTGAACATCGAAAAGTGTTTGGCGAGTACAGATAAGAGCGATGTATCTTTTCGCTAAATCAGCATTGCAAGGAAGTTGAAATATACTCGCCCTCTCAGAGTGTCGGAAAAGAAAAATTCTGATTGACAGCTATAAAAACCAAAAGCATGTGAATTCTAGTTAAAAAGTAGAGACATAGTGATATTCTACTTTTAATCTAATACCTTTGAGATTATTCCATACTTTTAAATGATTAAAGTACATTTCGAGATGTTAACACCTCAAGTCAAGTGTTACGAACTTCTAACACTCACTGTGTTAACTATAGTTAAAACCACTAAAATGGAAAGCCTGGGAAATCACCCAAGTAAGTATTTATTTATTTTCTTTCTAACAAAAAAAGGAATTTGTGATCAAAATGATTTTTATGTCTATTAATTATTGAATAAATCAATGTTTTAGTAACATATGTTATAAACAAGTTTTTTAAAAATGTGTTGAATATCTAATCCGGTTACGTCACAACAATAAAGATATAAGAATACAATAATAGCAATATTATAAAGATATAAGAATACAATAATAACAATATTATAAAGATATAAGAATACAATAATAACAATATTATAAAGATGTAAGAATACAATAATAACAATATTATAAAGATATAAGAATACAATAATAACAATATTATAAAGATATAAGAATACAATAATAACAATATTATAAAGATATAAGAATACAATAATAACAATATTATGTTTTGTTTTGCCCCAATCAGTTACGCGTATTATACAATGTTAACGAAGATCTAAATACAACTGGTATGTTTATCAAACTTCGTTTCAACACAAAAAATTGCTATCAGTATTCTTGTTACAGGTGTTATGTTACGACGTATACTTTATTAACGTCAACACGTCGAGTTATTTGTAAAACGTGTAGTTGGTTAGTCGCACTTTTGACGGTGATGCAAGATATTTGGTTAGCTGCAAATAAAATTGGATTTATCAGTCAAAAATAAGTCGTGTTTGGAACTTTCAGCTAATTATCAATAAAAGAACACTCTGGTGGGTAGCAGTTATTAAAGGCCAGAGTAAACATAACAAACTGTCAGAAGAAGTCTTCTTATAGTTTGTTCCATCTTCTGCAGTTTTTACTTGAAGACTTCTTCTGACAGTTTTACAGTTTGTTCCATCTTCTGCAGTTTTTACTTACTGTCAGAAGAAGACTTCTTATACTGTGTTCCATCTTCTGCAGTTTTTACTTACTGTCAGAAGAAGTCTTC